CGCCGCCCTACGGGAGCCCGGGGATGTGGGCCGGGCCTGGGGCCGCCTCTGCTTACCTTTCAGTTGCTTTTTTTTTTCTCCTTCCCCCCTGTTCCCTCGGCTGGGCTGACAGATCAGAGTGAGAGGCGCTGGCAATGGACTAGGAAGCTCGGCTGCCGCTGCTACTGCTCCCCCCTGGGCTCCAGCGAGAGCCTTTCCCTGTCAAGCAAGAGGGGTGAGGATCATATTTTTATTTTGGAAACTAAAAAGTGCTCCCAGGGTCGGTGATTATTAAGGGGAAATCCCTGAATATACTCTCCAGCCAAGAAGGCAGGGCTGCCGGGGCTGTACAAGAAGAGGCAGCAGCCTCCTACAGCACCACTACAGGCACTGCGAGGACATAACACCAGAGAGCTGCTCCTCTGCCCTCCGAAACGACAACTTTCCTACCATCTTGGAGGCAGAGCAAAGGGGGGCCAGGGGGAAAAGTGCACCCGCTCCCGATAAAGTACAAATTTTTACTCCTCATCTCTGGAAAAAAGTCCACACCGGCAGTCTACACCGGCGCCTGGGGGAGAAAGCAGGGAAGAAACTGGGGGTGCATGAGAAACCTTTTCATTTGCTCCAGGGGGAAAAATGTTTCTGCATCTTCTGATGGAAAGAAATCATTACAAGACACAGGTTTTCCGGTGATTACTGTTTTCTGTTTTCTATTTCTAATTTTTTTCATGTTAGTGACAGTGATATTTTAATATTTTTTCAGGCCAATAATAATCTCTCTCCATTACAGGGCTAAGTTCTGTGGCTGGTGGTCAGTTTGTAAATTTGTACTTAAAGAGACTTAATAGTAACTTCATTTATTTGTCTAGTTATGTTATTGTATATATAAATATTTACATGTTTTCATATATTGCATATGAAAATTTGTTACATGTTACTCTCAAAACTGAGATTGCTGTAAGACAATTGTAAAAAACATGTCTTTCGTCTCTGTCTCAAAGCAATGTAAATAAAACCTATGGACTGTCCAGAAAGGCATGATACAGTGTGTCATTTTCCACAGTGCAAATAAAGGCAGATATCACTGGGGATTTAAAAACGACCCCTGTTTCTGGAAATTCTGTTATGAAGAAAGGATACAGTAAACCTGGAAAGAGATTTTAAAGACAGCTTTAGATTTTTCTTTAAGTAAAATAGTTTATTAAGAATTATATCCAGGCATTTAATTTTTTTATTTATTTAGATTCTTTAAACTCTAGCTAGATTTTGGTGCATTACACATGTTGCTGTCTGCTTTTTGTGTCACAGAATTGAGAAATGTGGCTATTTTTGTTAGTTAGTTCAGAACTTCCAATGTGCTGCCAGCATGTATGAGTGACTTTTTGCATATTGCAGTGGATGTCATGAATTTACTTTTTTAAATGAGCAAAGCTTAATAGATAAATGGGATCAAAGTTAAACAATGCTGTTAGCATAGAGGTGAGAGGGACAAAGGATACCCATTTGCATCAATTCCAATAGAACGCTTGTTGGAGGATAATGAATTGCAGAGACATTTTTCAATTTTTGTGAAGAAAGAGAAAAATAATAGAAAATGAATGGACTATCTTTGTATGTTCTACTGGGGATGATGATTTAAATCTTGTATTAAAAGTTACTTTTCTGACACATGTTGACTAACCTGGCAGGAATGAATTTGTTATATTAGTGCCCTGAATCAGTAGAATATTTAATTTCTTTGTAAAATTTATTACACAGCATTTAGAAATAACTTCCAAATTTAGAAATTGTCCTAATTTAAAAGTGAGTTGATGTAATGCATATATCGAATATTTATTAGTTTCTAGCTGAACCTTTATCATATAACTTTGAATATAGTACTTACCTAAATATTCTGGATTTTCTTCTGTGGTTTTTTTCCTCTCTGGTGGAAAAGTTAAGTAAAATTAACTGATTCTTACCATCTTCGAAAACTCAGTTGTGAAGTTATGTTCTATTTACAATATTTTTTTTAAACATTTAGACATCAAACACATTAGTTATCACAAAGAAAATTACTTTCCTTCTAGTGAAATTGAAAAACGTGTTTTCTAACAACTTATTTTTCTTTATATAAGACATGACTTTATAGATATGTTTTGAATTTTATAGATATTTTTGAAATTAAAATGTGTTTGGCCAGATTCCATGGCTTATGTCTGTAATCCCAGCACTTTGGAAGGCCTAGGTGAGAGTATTGCTTAACCCCAGGAGTTTGAGACCAGCCTGGGCAACCAAGCGAGACCCTTTCTCCAAAAATTAAAATTAAAATAAAATGTGCTTGTTTGCATTAAGCTGGCTACACCCTTTTTTGCAATACCCCTTGTGACCAAAGAAACCAGTGGATAGGGCTATGCTGCATCAGCTTAGCATTTCAGTGCTTTCCTCTTTATAAAGTTTGACTTCTGCTTAGCTATAATCTATGATACTTATCCATCAATTGAGCGAAATATTCAAGACTTGAGGCCAGGCACGGTGGCTCACGCCTGTAATCCCAGCACTTTGGGAGGCCGAGGTGGGTGGATCACTGAGGTCAGGAGTTCGAGACCAGCCTAGCCAACATGATGAAACCCTGTCTCTACTAAAAATACAAAAATTGGCCGGTCGTGGTGGTGGGCGCCTATAGTCCCAGCTACTCGGGAGGCTGAGGCAGGAGAATCACTTGAACTGGAAGGCGGAGGTTGCAGCGACTGGATTGCACCATTGCACTCCAGTCTGGGCGACAGAGTGAGACTCCGTCTCAAAAAAAAAAAAAAAAAAAAAAAGATACAAAACTTAGCTGGGTGTGGTGGCAGGCGCCTGTAATCCCAGCTACTCTGGAGGCTGAGGCAGGAGAATCACTTGAACTGGAAGGCGGAGGTTGCAGTGAGCTGAGATGGCACCATTGCACTCCAGCCTGGGCGACAAGAGAAACTCTCAAAAAAAAAAAATTGCTATGTCTGATTTGTCGAATCTGCAAATGCTAACAAAACTGATATAATTTTTATTGTTTTTTTTAAAATTTTTTAAATTAATTTTTTTTTTTTGAGACGGAGTGTCACCACATTGGCCAGGCTGGTCTTGAACTCCTGACCTCAGGTGATCCGCCGGCCTCTGCCTCCCAAAGTGCTGAGATTACAGGCATGAGCCACCACACCCGGGCTAAAACTACTGATACAATTTGAGGAAGCTATTTTTTTTCCCAATAAAGTTTCCACTACTCAGATTTGGCTACCTTATTGAGCACTTAATGCATCTTGATAACCTTGTTGGATGCTTTTATCTATGTTTTCTTATTTAATTCCTGTAAGAGCTCCAAAAAGTATTACATTTTTCTTTTCTTTAAAAAAAAAATACAGATGGGATAATTGTCTTTCCTGTCAGGGATCACGTACCTTCTTGGCCCAAAAGCTTTCCAGTAAGATTCTCAATTCTCCTGGTTTAGAGTGTCCAAGGTGCCTGTCACAGTTCTGTGCACTATGCCTGAAGTGCTAGGTTCCTGCTCTATGCTCTTTGCCAAACACAAACTGAGTAGCCAACTGTTGGAGCCCCCTTCCTTCATTGGTGGCAACCAGTGGCTTATTTCACATGCATGAAGTCTAGCACCTAATCTATCAGTTGTTTTGAGGAATGCAAATAAATAACAAAAATAACAAATGCATTATGATTAACAGAGACTTTATTCCTGATCCTGAAAATGAGCACTATACGGTATAAATCATTAACTTATTCTATTATGCCTTCGTTTCACAAATAGCCGTTTGGCCTTTAGTTGAAGTAGGAAATGCTTGCCTTAATTTTTTTTTTATTTTGAGACCAAGTCTCGCTCTGCCCAGGCTGGAGTGCAGTGGCGCGATCTCGGCTCACTGCAACCTCCGCCTCTGGAGTTCAAGCTATTCTCCTGCCTCAGCCTCCTGAGTAGCTGGGATTACAGGTACCCACCACCACACCCAGCAAATTTTTATATTTTTAGTAGAGATGGGGTTTCACCATGTTGGCCAGACTGGTCTCAAACTCCTGACCTCGGCCTCCCAAAGTGTTGGGATTACAGGTGTAAGCCACTGCACTCGGGCAATATTTTTTTAAAAATTATTTTTATTATTATTTTTTTACATAGAGATGGTGTCTTGCTATATTGCCCAAGCTAGTCTGAAACTCCTGAACTCAGGCGATCCTCCTCCCTCAGCCTCCCAAAAGTGCTGAGATTACAGGTGTGAGTCACCTTGCCCAACAACCTTAATAATTTTAATATCATTAGAATCTTTAATTGATCTACCTTTTGGTATTAATTATTTTAGTTTTCTTTCTTTCTTTCTTTCTTTCTTTCTTTTTTTTAAGACAGAGTCTCACTCTGTTGCCAGGCTGGAGTGCAGTAGCGTGATTGCAGCTCACTGCAACCTATGCATCCCAGGTTCAAGTGGTTTTCCTGCTTCAGCCTCCTGAGTATCTGGAACTACAGGTATGCACCACCATGCCCAGCTAGTTTTTGTATTTTTAATAGAGAGGGGTTTCACCATGTTGGCCAGGATGGTCTCCATCTTGATCTCATGATCTACCCGCCTCGGCCTCCCAAAGTGCTGGAATTACAGGCATGAACCACTGCACCCTGCCTAATTATTTTCTAAAAATTGACCACATTACTATGTATACTAAAAAGTTATTAAGAAAATATCAGCCAGGCACGGTGGCTCATGCCTGTAATCTCAATACTTTGGGAGGCCAAGATGGGCGGATCACCTGAGGTTAGGAGTTCAAGACCAGCCTGGCCAACATGGTGAAAACCCATCTCTACTAAAAATACAAAAATTAGCCTTCCAGCTACTAGGAAGGCTGAGGCAGAAGAACCTCTTGAACCCAGGAGGCGGAGGTTGCAGTGAGCTGAGATCACACCACTGCACTCCAGCCTGGGCAACAGAGCAAGACTGTCTCAAAAAAATAAAAATAAAAAAACTCCAGGGAGCCGGGCGCGGTGGCTCACGCCTGTAATCCCAGCACTTTGGCAGGACGAGGCGGGTGGATCACGAGGTCAGGAGATTGAGACCATCCTGGCTAACACGGTGAAACCCTGTCTCTACTAAAAATACAAAAAATTAGCCGGGTGCAGTGGCAGGTGCCTGTAGTCCCAGCTACTTGGGAGGCTGAGGTAAGAGAATGGCATGAACCTAAGAGGCGGAGCTTGCAGTGACCCGAGACCGCATCACTGCACTCCAGCCCGGGCAACAGAGTGAGACTCTGTCTCAAAAAAAAAAAAAAATTAAAATAAAAAAACTCCCAAGGAGATGAGGGAATAGAAATGGGGTATGTACATAGCCTGAAAGTTTTCAAAGCCACACTATTATGATGGCCATAGACTCAAATTTTTTTCACTTTAAAGCCTTTCTGTTTTGCAAACATTTGTTGGTAATGTTTCTACCTAAAACAAAGATTTTGGTTTTATTGTGGTTACAAGAAAGTGTTTCTGAGATAAACAATGTATTTAGCCGACATACACATCATAGCTTTAGACTGACTATGAAATTTCTTTTCAAAGATTCAAGGCTCTGGGCATGGTGGCTCACACCTGTAGTCCCAAAACTTTAGGAGGCTGAGGAGGGAGGATCACTTGAGCCCAGAAGTTGGAGGTCACAGTGAGCTGTGATCGCACTACGGCACTCCAGCCTGGGCAACAGAGTGAGAGCCTGTCTCAAAAAAAAAGGCCGGCGTGGTGGCTCACACCTGTAATCCCAACACTTTGAGAGGCCGAGGCGGGTGAATCATGAGGTCAGGAGTTTGAGACCAGCCTGGCCAACATGGTGAAACCTCGTCTCTACTAAAAATACAAAAAATTAGCTGGACATAGTGGCGGGCGCCTGTAATCCCAGCTACTCAGGAGGCTGAGGGAAGAGAATCGCTTGATCCTGGGAGGTGGAGGTTGCAGTGAGCCAAGATCACACCACTGCACTCCAGCCCAAACAACAGATGAGACTCCGTCTCAAAAATAATAATAAAATATATATATATACACACACACACACACACAT